TGTATATGAAATTCTTAATTATACTCCAAGCGTGCAACTCTTTAACTCAGGCCTCCAAAACAGTTGCAATATGTACTGATTCCTTCGCCTCAATCAAATCCATTCAAAACATCTACAGTTTACATCCCCTAGTCCAGTCTATACACGAACGCTGCCAGCAGCTTCTCTCTGTAGGAGTAAACGTAACCTTACTATGGGTTCCCTCCCACGTCGGCATTACTGGGAACGAACTAGCAGATTGTGCAGCAAAAGAAGCCTCAATAGCAAACCTCCCTACCGAAGGAATCCAATTATACAAAGATCTGAAAAACTTCTTCAAGGATAAGATCCACCTAACATGGCAAGAACACGGGTCCAGAATCCCGTCTAAGCCATACGAGATACGGAAATCTGTCAAGCCTTTTCACCTCCCTCCATTAACAAGAAGAGATAAAATAATCATTCGAAGACTTCGAATTGGACACACAAATCTCACACACAGACACTTGATGAATTCAGAACCTGTCATCACTGCAACAGCGTTATCCGTCAAACACCTTCTAATGGAATGTCAGCTTCACTCACACACAAGAAGACAGTTGGTCTCTCAAACACCCTGGCTGAAGCCCTCAACTCACCGAACCAGATAAACAAAGTTCTCAGATATCTAAATAACATCAATTACAGCTCCAAAATTTGAACCCTTGCTTTAGCTGTTTAGATATAGCTCTACTCTCTCAAACATAAATATAATGTAATTTACCATTAGTCTATAAACTTATACACAACTGTATGTCAATGGCCTCTGATATGCTGAGACACATTAATCTAAAAAACTACTTACGTAAGCAATATTATGTTCGATAGATCAGTGCATTCCATTTTGAAATTAAGCAGTGTTTTTTTTTTAAAGATTTGTAGATATTCGTTTCATGTGTAGATAACTTCGAACCTTAAAAAGGTGATTTTTTCAAATGAAACCTTTAATTTTTTACACTTTCAAATGTGGAAAAATTTCTACATCGATCAATTATTACATGCCCTATACCTATATCTGTTATGGTTTTCGTTTTATTTAAGATTTTCTAAAATTGTAACCGTTATATGCATAATTTTCTTAGGAGGAGCACAATTTTGAAGAACAATACGCACGATGCACTGCACTTGTGGATAATAATTGGGCACTCCGAGAACTCCGGACAGGTCAAGAAAGTGATAGTGGCACAGTGACAGTTCAGGAGTAAAGAAAACTCTGGTTATGGCAACGGACCAGTAGGAAAGAAGAAGCCATGGAGATAATACAATGTAGGTAGGCCATTTGAAAGAATAGCTATGTACTATTTTAGTGAATGGACAGAAACATATGCGACAATCGTGGCAGAGGGTTTGGTAAAAGAACTATTTAGCAGATTTGGAGTACTTCACCCTGACCAGGGACGAAATTTCGAGTTGGTGGTATTCCAGATCACCACTGATGGCGAATCGTTCTGTGGTGCAGGAAACTACAGGACAGAGTCCAGCTTCCCTGTTTGGCAGGGAACTTCGGTTACCGTGTGATTTAAAGTTTTGTACAAGACCCGACCAGGAAACTGTAAAAAACGAGTACGGGGAAAACCCACGTCATAATATGCAGTTAGCTAGCGATAGCATAATAATAATAATAATAATAATAATAATGACGTAAAGGCGCAGACTGGTGGTTATCAACCTGGAAATCTGGTTTGGTTGTATCGTTTCCAGGAGAATCGCGGGATATCCCCGAAATTATAAAGAACTTAGGAAGGACCGTATACCGTCGTAAAGAATAAACGGCTTAATATATTGTGGAAACTACCATGAGGATAACCAGTGGTAGTGCATATAAGTCGGTTGACTCCGTATAGGTGGATCAAAACGAGCCCGAAAAATATTCAGAGGCGGAGAAGGTGATGCAAGTGAGACCACGACAGTCTACCTTCGCGGAATTTATAGGACATTAGTCTGGAACCAGCGGAGTACGCTTTAGCTAACTGCGTAGCCAAGGATGTCTCACCGTAGAATTAAAATTTGTGCGTTTAAGAGCAATTTACCTGCAACATCCCGATGTGGGCAAAGTGTGTATCCTACAGGAGCAGGGACGATTTCTTTATTATCTGGTAACAAAAGACTGGTCTTAGGTATTTTACGAAAACTGTCAATTAACATTTTTTCCATACTTTCTTTTGAAACTATTGTTAATCATATTTAGATATTTTACGAAAGCTAAACAAGTAATTATTCAAACTTTTTACCAAAGATTATCTCTTAAATAGTATATATACTTACCTATTAGAATCTAAGACACCTTTTTCTAAGCTTCAGTTTGTTACCTGCGTTGCTTCATTAATAAACTTATTAAAAAGCAAATGAGTAATTGATTCGGAGTGTGAAAAACGTCAACACGTAACTGCTACATGAAAGATTTGTAATCGGTGATAAAGAACGAAGGTGGATGTGACGCAATCTTTCATGGAAACAAGACATGTTTATTGTCGAACATTCTAAAGCGTCTTGAAGCGCTCGAAGACACAGAAAGGATGTTGTTTGCTATAAAGAAAATCGAATTGTGTTTCTACATCAGTTTGATGCGCTAGTGTTATGTTATAAATTGTAAGTGATAAATAATAATTACTGTTATATGTTATAAATAATGTATTGTTAGTTAATTGTAAATAAATAAAACCACGTAATGAAATTTACGTTACAATACTGTATGGCTAGTTGCGTGTTCCATTTTGAGAACCTGTCGAGTCCGCCCCATTTCCAATTCAAACAGAGGCCAGTGTCAAAATGACTGGTGTGATCAGATGACTCGATTAATTCACAATCCAATTTCATCTGTGGTACTATTTAAATGATTTGGAGTCTTTGAGGTAGTTTTTTCGGTTGGTTTACTTGGACTAAAATTGTCTCTCTGCGGAGAGCAGCTAGATCAGCTGGCACCTGATCGACTAGCAAGTCTTCTTTATTGCGAAAATATACAGTAAGTAACATTGGCAGAAGATTGATACAGTGATGTAATTGTGATTTTTGCACTTCCAAACGTGTTTTGCTTCTCCAATACGTGGCTACACGGTACACGGCATCGGCAGTGTTTTATAAAAGTAACCCTTCCCAAAGTCTCACAAGATTTTTGGTAACACCAAAGGGTAACTAAGTATTATTTGGTGGCACTAAGGGAGGAGATAGGTCTGTTTTTGACTCTTTAGTAATTTTAACAGTATCATTTGCTCTACGCACATTACCTTTGCCGTGCGGCGTTGTCGTACGGCGAAAATCGACCGTTTAAATGTCAATTCGGCTAGGCCGCAAGTGACTAAAATCGCTTGTTCCAAAGTAGACTAGAATCCGACTTTTTTGCCGTGCGGGGATCGGCAGAATGCGACTGGTAACTAAAATCTGCTCAACATTTTGGACGAAAATGACCTAGTCGCTTGCGATTTTAGTCAAATGTGTAAATGAGGTGGCAATGCGGCTTTGTGAGGCGATTTGTGAAGCAATTAATCGCACGGCGAAAATTGACCCATGTAAATACCCCATAAGGGAGATATTGCATTGGGGAATTACTAGGGTATTTACATAGTTCAATTTTCGCCGTGCGATTAATCGCTTCACAAATCGCCCCACAAAGCCGCATCGCCACCTCATTTACACAATTGACTAAACGCGCAGGCGGCTAGGTCATTTCCGTCGACAATATTGAGCATATGCTACCAGCCGCATACTGCCGGTTCCCGCACTGCGAATAGCCGGATGCTAGTCTACTTTGAAAAAAGCGATTTTAGTCACTTGCGGTCTAGCTGACTTGACCTTTAGGCGATCGGTTTTGCCGAGCGGCTGTGTCGTGCGGCAAAAATCAACCCGTGTAAACCCCTTTTAGACATAAAAGGGCAGAATCGCGCATGCGCAGGTATGTGGGTGATATAAAAAATTTGCTGTGGCTAGCACAGGCTAGCCACAACAAATTTTTTTATTGTGTCGATAATGGAACATAAAAGGTCTCAGTTTGTCGCTATTGTTATCGCGAACGCTATTTACAATTCCCTGTCCATGCAGCCGCATTCAAGGGGAAGACCACAAGAAAAAATTCTGCAAAGAGTAAAAGGTTTTATGCGTCGAACGCGGTTACTGTGATTGCAAAATAAAATTAAAAAAGACACAGCTTCTTTTCACCAGGCTTAAATCAACGAGCGCCTTCTAGCTGTTCCACACAGCATGGCAGCGGTTTTTGGTTACTCCACGAGGTGGCTCCGGATTACTTACTCAAAGAACAGTAATACAGAAATTCAATAAAGAACCGGAAGTAAAAGGAACACCGCGGTGATATTATTACGGTTAAATTGCTTCTCAAGAGAAATTTAAAAAAAACTTAGGTAGGAAAATCTCCTTTATATTGGAACGGGATGGTTTGCACATATAATTTTTTCGGTTTCTAAGTTAACAGCCGTTAATTATCTCTGCAACACTAATTAAACCCCGAGCATATGGCTTTCAAATTTGAGGTACATTACACGAGTATTTTGGAATTGTTCCGAGAGCTTCTAATCATTATTTCATAAATAACCTTATATTATTAATTGTTTATTGCATCACGATTAAATTCGAAACACGTTAATTACAGATGCCCTCAGGTCAAAACGGTCTCAGATGTATTAAGGAAATAATAAATGGCAGTGGACTTGGTTTTTGATGAAAAGCTACCGAAAAGTACATCTTCAAAAGAAAAATTTTACTATTGTTGTGCTGAAAAATTTACGTTAGCTACCTTTAGGTATGCTTATTGAATTTTTCCATTCTTTTCAAAGACCTTAAATACTCTTTAATCAGAATATGAAGGTTTTTTGGTATACGCTGAAGAAACATTTAATTATGCTTGTTGCAAACATTATCCGGGTCAACGCAGATCAGATAACATCCTTATATATGCGTTTTTTATTCTACTATTAGTATCCACATCTATTAAACTTGCAGTAAATCGTCGTTTATTGCTAACGTTAGAGATAACACAGTTTAAATACCAATTAGGTTAAGATGGTTTCAAGAAGTTTAGTAATACGTGGGCATCAATGTGGGAATAGGTAAACCATGAGTGATGAAACGACTGGTCTTATTCAAGAAAATGAAAAACTCCCGCTTCGACTACAATTAGCTTTTGGGGTTGGACATGTACTCAACGATATATGTTCGTCAATGTGGTTTACCTATCTACTGGTTTTTCTGCATTTAGTTTTGGAATTTAATAATTGGGAAGCCGGGTTCTTGTTGCTAGTGGGACAGGTAAAATCTATGACATTTTTCATTGCCGTCAACCCAAATGATTCAGGTAGCAGACGCTATCGCCAACCCGTTTGTTGGGTATCAATCGGATCAAAGGGACACACTGTGGATTTGTAAATACGGACAGAGAAAAATTTGGCATTTAATAGGTAAATCGTATGTTCGGTGACTTTTGTTAATAACATTTGTAGGCACTATTTGCGTCTTGGGAGCGTTCCCGTTTATATTTTTACCATGCGTCAATCCAGACAGCAACAGATACGTTCAGCTGTTTTATTTCGCTGTATTTATTGTGATATTTCAATTCGGATGGGCTGCCGTACAAATTGCTCATTTATCGATTATGCCCGAACTTACTGCCGATGAGCACCAGCGCACCAAATTGGCAGCCACCCGGTATGTTTCTGACAAAAGTGACTCGTATACTAGATTGAAATTTGCAGTTACTGCTTCACTGTCATTTCGAACGTATTAGTCTACTTTGTTTCTTGGGTGGTTTTTCGCTGTGAAGATGGCACTGAGCGCCGCATTAGTACATCTGATGCTCCCGATTTTCAGATAATCGTTTGGTCAGGTTTGAGTGTAGGAATACTCTGCACAATCATATATCATGTTTTTGTTCATGAAGATAGTTCAAGATTTGACGATCATCACGCAACGGAGCAGATAAGTTTGGGAGTTGGCCAAATACTACAAAAAGTACGGTACTACCAAGTAAGTAGGTACCTCGTGAAAAGTTCTAAGATTTTGCTGATAAGATTTGTTTAGGCCGCAGTAGTTTATATGTCAACTATGCTGTATATAAATTTGACTCAAGTGTTCGTTCCGCTGTATTTACACGAAACTTTGACTATGGCTGCCAGTGCGCTTGCCAAAATCCCGTTGGTGATATACTTGGGAAGTTTATGCACGTCGTTCTTTGTTGGAACCTTAAATAAATATTTGGGTAGGAAGGTTTGTAGGTCTCATTGACTGTTTAAGTCCTACAACCTAAAATTGCAGGTCGCTTACGTTATGGGTGCTGTTATAGGTTTAGTAGGATGTGGATGGATTAATTTGCGATCTCATACACCCACCTTTACCTTTTATGAGATCTACGCCGTAGCATTACTTTTTGGTAGTCCTAGATAGAAATAATTTGGCATGAATCTAAAATTCCTGTTTATAGGATGTGCCAGTGCCATCGTATTGGTTACCAATTTGGGCGTGACGACCGACGCCATCGGTGATAAAACGGGAAGTGGAGCATTTGTGTACGGCATCATGTGTTTTACAGACAAATTATCTAATGGAATTGCAGTCTTTGTGATACAAGATTTGTAAGAACCATACGTTAGGGCCATGTAATTGACACGTAAATTTTTAGACACAAAACATTTCCTAACTCAGAGTATTATGGGCACGTTTTAACGTTCGTTTGTGGCGGTGCCCTCATTCTTGGATCCTGTGGAGTTATCTCTTTATCAATTTGTAAAACTTGTATGTAGAGATAAGTACTGGTTATTACCCGACTAAAAGTTTTTTTTTCAGCTAAACCAAATTATACCTTGATCACCGACTGATCATTAGTGGTATATGGAACTAACGGCATTACCGGATTTGCGTTATTATATCGCAGCATAAGCGCATGAATGGTGTTTTGTAAAAGTTAAAAAAGTTGTGATTTTGTGCTCTAGTTAGATAACATCTTAATATATTTAATAAGTACTTGGTCGGTTGTAACAATGTTGCATATCTGCTCCTCAATTTTGTTTGTCTAGCGAGTGTATCGTGGTCTGGCTTATGCTGAATGTTAACAAATTGTGGCGCCAAACGTTTATAATATTACTTTCTTATACGATTGTCGTTTCGGAACTTTAGAAACTCGCTTTTATTTCGTACACCGTTTTGTTTTCTACTGTTGACGTTTCTAGTATAACTCTTCTTTTGTTTTGTTGTCGAACAGCATTCGATTTGAATCACATTGCAGTGTACTTAACCTTGTACGCTACCTTCACACTACAAGAACACGGAAATAAAGTCAACTTGGCAACGTTTAAAAATGGGCACCAGAATTATGATTCCCTTCAAAATTAAACAAGATCCCGCTTAAACTGGAAAAGTGGCACGTGATAAAACATCTAAGGCAGAGCCGCCTTATGTTATTTGTCAACAACCCTATGACCTGAAGTACACTAGGGAAGGAACGTAAAAAATAATACACTGAAATTGTGAAAGTCAAACATAATCGCGGAATTAGGTATCGTAAATCAATTTGATTACCGTTTTTGCCACTCCTGTGACTTCTTTATTCATGGAGAAAGTGTTAGTTACAAACAACAAGTCAGTACACTCACAAATAACTCGTTAAATTCCAAATATTAAAATAAAATTATCAAAATTTATATGAATGTTATGGTCAAGACCATGTAATTAAAAAATAAACATAAATTAAGCAAGCATTACACCAAAAAGGTAAACGATTACAAGCAAAAGGATAACGGTATCAAATATGTGATTCTGCATTAAGGTTAAATCAAGTCAGTTTCAAAAACAAAGATTGAAATTCACAAAAATATAAAATGCTGTATTGCAAAACACAAATACGATATAAAGAATTTCATCGAATTCAGTTTGTACATCGTGGTAAAAGCTTTCGTCGTTACCATCGTTTGCAACACACGCAATCGTTCTTGTCGCTGAAAATAATCGCCTTTAATCTGAATTACTTCGTTTAGTTAACCAACAATCTACTTTTTCACGACCAAAAAACCATCGTCATCATCGCTTATCGCCTTCATTTGTTTACTGCGTCTTCGTCTAAGAGGACCTACCTACTTCGAAACAATAACAAGTAAGTCTTTTCACTCATATTCTTTTCGTAGTTGTTTCTACTTTATAGTACGTTTATGCGCTCCGTATCTACACCAAACAAAATTTAGAATCAATTTACATTATTTGTATTTTTAATCAATAAACACGTTAATCATTAGTGTCGATATTCTTTCAACGTCCCTCTAATGCAAAAGCATAGCAAGTATTTCATATTATATAGTCCACACAAACAATATGCAAGCTTCGCTCTACATGCATATGCAGGTTATGACTTCTGTTCTATTTCTTCGTAAGTGGAAAACTACTAAAAGACTAGGAGTGGCTCTCAATACAATAATCGGTCAATTTTATTTTTCAAAACTATAAATTTTCCTCCCCATACATATCTAATTCATCTACTGCCACCAGTTCTAGCCAGTCGATCCCCAAAAATTACTACGTGTTTTAAGTATAAAAAATATATATTTGTATATTTATTTTACTTACCTGAGAGTGACAGTCAGCACTTATTGGAGGCCCAAAGAAAGTTTTTTGTCTACTGCTGAAAGAGCTTATATTTTCATCGAAAGACGCAACCTGACATTCGTTAGTATGACAAAAACTGAACGTTGTAATTTCTTGTATCCTGAAAAAATGAAATAAACGTATTGGGCGTAAGCGATTGTAGGGGTGAACAGAGCATATCCTTCGTCGTGTGTCTTGGATCAGACCTTCTGCTTCAACTGCACAAACCGCTACCACATGAAAATGAACGTACCTCCATTGCTCGGATGCAACTGCACCTAGAAATGCCAAAAACTGAAATCAGCGGTTTCCCGGGAACGATTCGGCCGCGGGCTCGGCGATCTGGTATGTCATTAAAGTTAAACAGCGGTGACCGCTCTGTTGTGCGGCGACCGCGTGTGGTTAGCGATTTACCGCTCTAGTATGTCATTACTTAGACAAAGTCGTTACCGTGGCTGTAGAGAAATATGAGCGAAATCCAGTTACACTTATCTCTTCTATGGAGGCATTGGAGGCTGTATTGGGAATTAAACACAATTCCGCACGTTTGAGTAAACTGCCATTTTACTTACCGGCGTTATCTATTGCATTATTTTAGGTCAACCATCAGTTAAAGTTCGAACCGAATATAAATTCCGCTCCATTACTATTACCGGAATCCAATGACCATGCTTCCGGTGATAGTAATGATTGCTAATAACATTTCCTTAATTAATGAAAGGTTTGTTACGGTTATGTTAACCTAAAGTCATTAATTTTGTCAGTCCTTTCTTGTATCTTCTGTCGATACCTGATCAAACTTGAAACCATTATTTTTTGGTTGCCTGCCTTCTTTCAGAAGCAAGTTGTACATGCAAATGTAATCGAACTTGAATTTGGTAACAAGTAGACCAAGGCGCTTCAGGCATTATTCAATTCATTAGCCACGTAGTTTTGGTTAGGTTCTTTGTTCGTCTGTCAGCCTGGAACGTTGGAATTGATCTCATTTCTCGTTAATTTTAATATTGTTACTTGTCCTTTCATTATCGATCGAATTTGAGCTCGAGATATCATTTTACTTGTTACATTACTCGATTATTATTGAACTAGGGGATTTATTAGTTTCTGGAATTTATTGGGAGTTCATGTACAATTTTAATGTACTACATATGATATCTGAGAATGTTATGTACCAAAGAATTTGCTGGTACGTATATGCTTTTGTGTTCCATTCTTGACACAAAAACCTGGGACATGCCTGAAAAACTTATATTAATGTTTTTAAAATTTTTGAGATGATTTCTCCCATATTCTTCTTAACTTTATTATGAAATGCAACGAGGACATTTCCAACATGGCAGCGCGAGGGTTCATACAGCATAAAGAAGTTTAAGTTTAATATTAATAGTCTGAGTTTTATGAGCATCTGCGGTGCTGTACGGGTCTAAACGTGCTAAGGCCACTTAATTTATCAGCGGCCGTATTTAAAACGAATTCTAGAAAGCAGTGTAAATGGTATGTATCGGTCACCATGGTATCGGTTCAGGTAACCGATACCTCCCAAATCTCTCGATCGGACCCCATTGGATTATTCTTAATTAATTTCCATCTTTCAAGAACTAGTTCCAGTTGCCGATTTAGGAGAACTAAAAAAACGCAATGCTACATAAATGTGTAAGAATTACACCGCAGACTTTGGAAATCGTGGTCTTGATTTTGGTCTTGGTGCCACAGAATTTCTGTCTCGACGAAATTCGTATCAGTGTCCATAATATTGCCAGTTAGGATGATCCAGTCGCAGGGCAAGGCATTTATGAATTGCACAGAAAAATGTCTTAACCATCAACAGCGAAGGGAAGGAACTTGACCACGTGTGACGTTGCAAATGTCTCCATAACTTATTCTCAATTTTTTTTCTGGTGATGCATTATTGTATGTAGTAGAACTTAGAAGTGATACATATACCTATACACAATTTTTAAGTAGAATTAATCCGATTAACTGGATTTAATTATAAGAATGAAAACCTATTTGTGGCTTTATCTTAAGTTGGTGTCAGTTTTGGTGTTCGCCGAGATTTCCGACGCCACTTTTGGAGACCAAATCGGTGGTCTGGGTCTATGTAACTCGTCACTTGAATAGCAAACATTACCTTGTGGTTCGTAATTAAGTTACTGAAGTAATTCATTGCAAATCAAGTGAAGAGAGAATTAAAGGTTTACAAGCTGTTTCTAGACAGGTGCCCGTTTGCGGTATTAAACGAATTGAAGGAGAGAGACAATAATAAAACTGTGTCGGTGCTGAATATTGTACAACAAACCGAAATTAAACTTTAATAAAGCGCCTAATAACAGTACAACGTTCCAACTTTGAAAATCGCAGTAAAGTACAATTAACATCCATCAACATTGTCAGAATGCAAATTTGACATAATTAAGGGCTAGAAATGTCTTGAAAACTTTGTAATTGTAAGTAATTTTGTTTGTAACTTTATGTGGCGAATCTTGTGTTGCTATTAACAATGAAAGCAGGTCCAGAAGTACAATCCTCTGGTGTACGTCCGGAAATGGCAGAAGCTTGTTCACCGCCTTGGAGATGTGACAAATCGTCACCTGGTGACCCGTGAACGCCGGATTCAACCTCGGTCGGCCGCTCGAGGGCCGTATAAACCTGCATTTCCCGAATGTAATCATATCATGCTAACAGAGAACTGCCCGTGCGGCTTAATGGATCCATTACCGCGGTCGGTCTCCTTATTGCTATGAGCTGACGAAGAGAGACCGCACATGCAAATGGAATGGTCTTTATTAATATGTAATTTTACTGCGCTTGAAAGTTAAAAAAATAATATGAGTTATTGGAAGCAAGGGACCGAAGAAAAATAAGTACGCAGAAAAGGATATTGTTGATGTTTTTTTTCTGAAAAAAAACTGGACATGAAATATATTGTCATTAAAAGTATCTCGTTTGGAAAACTTTTATTTATATCCTCACGTAGTTATAACTCGTATGAAGTAGTTTACTTTAAAATATAATTTCTAGTTTAATAAAAAACCTGTTGCATGATTCAAACTCCAAACGGGTAGTGCCGTTTTACAGGCTCAAAATTGCACAATCATATATACCTACCTACTTTTATACTGTGAGGGCGCAAGCAATCAATTAAATTATTAGATTAGTTGAAAGTGCATACAAAAATGCTCATTTTTTTCAGGTGCAGAAGCAGGTTGGCATACTGATTTCTGATACTGAAACATCTGTGCATCCCCGTTCATAGTAGTAATAGTAATCGTATAGCATTTATTAACGAGGTCCTAGCGAGTTTATAATTTTGTTGTGTCTGTCCGTCCGTCCATCTGTCCGTTAGCACGATAACTCATAAACGAATGGACCGATTACGATGAAATTTTGCAGGTGGATTCTTTATCAAATTTCTAGATCGGAGTTCGTGAATTGGCAATGTAGCCCAAAAAATAAAGTAGGCGTTAGTTATGAACCGAATTGCATGAAATTCAATATGCGCATAGCTTTAGCCATATAAAACACAATTCCAAAAGTTGAACCTAATCCATCGGCATTCATAGTGCCCTTTGCGCACTACAGACCGAATTGCAAACTTTCTTATTTATGAAGGTATTTAAATGAAATTTGATACATAGCCACTTGGAATAAAAGCAAATTTAACGCCAGTTTCAAAATTTGGTTTTCCGCATGCGCAGTGCCAACTTTCTTATTTATGGAGGGATTTAAATAAAATTTGATACATAGCACTTGGAATAAAACCAAATTTACGCCAGTTTCAAATTTGGTTTTGCGCATGCGCAGTGCCAACTTTTTATAGGGGGATTTAAATAAAATTTGGTACATAACCACTTGGAATAAAAGTAAATTTAACGCCAGTTTCAAATGTTGGTTTTGCGCATGCGCAGTGCCAACTTTCTTATTTATGGAGGCATTCAAATGAAATGACATAATATACACTTTCAATAAAAGCAAAACTAAATCAGGTTTAAAATTTGGTTTTGGACATGCTATAGCCATACCCAGGAGCTCGTTTGCTATATTTGTTTAATTTATTCCGTAGATAAACTGGTTTGTGTGGAAATTGCCAACAAATATCTTAATAGTGCAAATTACTTTGAATATTAGCTATTAGGTAAAAAGCAAATTACACATTACACAGCAACAAACAAATTACAACTATTACATTTACCAGTAAAATATTCATTAATATCGTAAGGACACTTGTCAACTAGAAACAAAAATAATTTTGTTTATTTTATAGCGTATGTTAAAATGACATTTTAATAAGTTTGAATGAGTAGGCTAAGCCATTCTATCCGTAAGGATAGATAAAGTGATCACTTTAACCGTAAGGGTAGATAAAGTGAAACAGATGACTGTGCGTTCTAATGACATCTGTCATTCTTATTTCAAATGCACGATATAAAATGTCGTTCAGAACATATGACAATTATGTTTCTATGGAAACGATCGCGACGGAAGAACATAAGCTTGCTATTTTTGGCGTCTTTAAATTAAATTCAGAATTGTCAGAAGCTTTACAATAATTTATATGGCTCCTGATATATAAATAAAGTTTTGTGTTATACACGACGATAAATGGAAGCTGACTATTTCGTGAAATTAATTCACTCGTGGCCTTTCACTTAA